CTACCTATTTGTCCAGCCCCACTAATCACTAGAGCACGATGTCATGTGGGTTTGTGTTCCTGGAGTAGACCTCCAGGACCAGACGCTCAGCAGTCCTGGGATTCTGCTCCCTCCTGACTCTGTTCCTCTTCCTCCTGCCTGTGGGCTGGGGTGGGGCAAGGGCTTGGGTCCCAATGGATCTCAGCTTTGCCACTTTACCCTATTCTGTGTGGTCTTCTCTTTTCCCAAATGTAGGTGGTCAGTTCTGCAGTCTTTAAGTCATTTTCAGGTTTAGTTGTATTTGTTGTGTTTTTATTTTCTATATGATTTTGGGAGGTTTCTGCCTTGCCTTCTTACTCCACTATCTTTTTCAGAATCCTCTCCCAGCATCATTTCTTGAAAAGACTATCCTTTGTCCAATTACTTTTATTCCTTTTGTCAAAAATCAACTGACTACATATATAAGTGTGAGCCATTTTATGGACTCCATTCTGTTGGACTGGTGTACTTCTGAGTGTTTTTATCAACACCACATAAACATTGAAGTTGGATAATACAAGTCATACAGACTTGTCCTCATTCTAACTTGTTTTGGCTATTCTAGTTCCTTTGCAGTTCCAAGTGAGTTTTAAAATCAATATCAATTTTTAGAAAAAAGTTGGCTGGAATTTTGACAGGAATTGCTTTGAATATATAGATCACTTTAAGAAGTGATGTTTTAATACTGCATCTCCATATCTATGAATATAGTCTATCTCTCCACTAATTGTCTTTTTCTCAGCAAAGATTTGTTTTCAGTGTGTTAAATCTTGTATATCTTTTTTCAAACTTATCCCCCAAATTCAATGTTTTTTTATGTTATTTTAAGTGGTAGTTTTTTCTAATGTCAACTTCTATTATTTGTTGCTAGTTATGTAGAGACAATGATTTATTTTTTGCATATTAAACTTGTATCTTGCAACCTTGCTAAATCCACTTGTTGTAGCTCTTTTTGTAGGTCCCATTTCATTTTTTACAAAGGGCAGTCTCAACCAAGGGCAATTTTGGCCCTCCAGGGACACTTGGCAATATTTGGAGACATTTTTGGTTGTGACAAGTGATGTGTTTTTGTTATCTAAGGGGTAGAGGTAGTGGTACTACTAATCATCTGACAATGCACCTGATGCCACTCCCTCACCCTCCACCCCCAACAAGGAATTCTCTGGCCTAAAGTGTCAACAGAGCCATCTACGGTTGAGGACTTGTGACATAGATGACTATGTCATCTTCAAATAAAGAAGTTCACTTATTCCTTTTTGATTTGGAAGCTTTTTCTTTCTTTTTCTTGCCTTGAACACTGGCTAGAATTTCTGGTACAATTTTGAACAGAAGTGGTGAGACCAGACAACTTTGGCTTGCTCCTGATCATCGAGGAAAACATTCAGTCTTTCACTATTTCGTATGTCAGCAATAGGTTTTTCATAGATTGCTTTATTATGCTGAGAAAGTTTCATTTTATTCCTAGTTTGCTGAAAGTTTTTTTAAAAATCAGGAATGGATATCAGATTTTGTCTAATGCTTTTCCTGTATCTATTGAGATCATCTATTTGGTTTTCTTTTTCACTCAGTTAATAGTGTAAATTACATTGAGCAATTTTCAAATGCTAAGCTAACTGCATTCCTGGGATAAACTTCACTTGGTCATACTGTATTATCCTTTTTACATGGTGCTGGATTCAATTTGCCAAAAAATGTTTTAGAATTTTTATATTTATGTCCATGAAGGATATCAGCCTCTAGTTTTTCTGTCTTATAGTTTCCTTGTCAAATTTTGGTATCAGAATAATGTTCTTTATAGAATTAGTTGATTAGTATTTCCTTCCTTCAATTTCCTCTAAGAATCTGTGCATTGGTATTATTTTTTCCTTAAATATTTGGTGGAATTCCCAGTGAAGCCATCAAAGTTCGGAATTTTCTTTGAGGGAAAGTTTTTAACTCTAAACTTAATGCTTTAGCAAACAGAGCTATTCGGGTTATCTACTTCCTGAGTGAGACTTGGCAGTGTCTCTCAAAGAATGTTACTTTAGTCTAAATTGTAGAACATATTTACACAAAGTTTTCATGTTCTCTGATGATCCTTCGAGGAATGATGTCATCATTCCCATTCATGAAACTAATTTGTCTTTTCTTTTTCTTGCTCAAATCTGGTAAGAAATTTCTGTATTTTATTGATCTCAAAGATACAGCTTTGAGTTTCATTAGCTTTTTTTTTCTATTTCACTTATGTCCACTCTGATATTTATTTTCCTTTTTGTACTTAAGAGTTTCATTTACTCTTATTTTTCTAGTTTAAGATGAATTCAAAAGTTATTGATTTGAGATCTGTCTTCTAGTAGTGAGCTATATTCTATGTATTTTGAAATGCTGCATTTTCATTTTCATTCACTTCAAAATCCTAATTTCCCTTTCGATTTCTCCTCTGACTTATGGATAATTTATAAGTGGATCAGTCAGTTTCAAAATATTTGGATGATTTTCCAGGTATTTGCTATTGATATCTAACTTAATTGCATGGGTTCAGAGATCATATTTGTTTCACAGCTCAGAATATTACCTGTCTTGGTAAATGTTCTTTATACATTTGAAAAATGTGTATTCTGCTGCTATTGTATAGAGTGCTCCATGTATGCCCATTAGGCCAAGTTGGCTGATGGTGTCATTCAACTCTACTACATCCTTGGTCATTTCCTGGTGTTCTGGTACTTTTCTACTATTTATGGCAAAAGGAGTATTGAAGTCTCCAACTACAGCTGTGGTTCCTTTTTTCCTTGCAGTTTTATTAGTTTTTGCTTCATGTACTTTAAAGCTTTATTATTAAAATAAACAGAACTGTTTAGAACTGTTACATCTTTTAAATTTATCTTTATCATTATGAAATGACACTCTTAATTTCTGGTTAACATTCTTAGCTATGAAATCTACAGAGGAACAGGTTTGGGGATGAAGATAATAAACTCAGTTTTAGACAGGTACACATAGGGTGAGATACCTCAGAACAAATGTCTGAGAGTCCAGGACAGAAATGTGGCCGGGAGATACAGATTTGGGTTAAGATGTTACTATTACTACACTTCTAGTGCAGTGCCAGTGTAGAAAGGTGCTCCATAAGTATTTATGAAACAGAAAGTCCAAATAGACTCTGGTCTCGAAGTAATTATACTACTTAGAAATCTCCATCTGACCATAGGTCACATGAGGATAAATTCACGGCATCCAAATTCAAAGAAGCCCTCAAACTGTCATGTTCTCTAGTGAGTTATCCAGAAGGTTTTCTGCAACACCTATTTCCAGTCTTTCTCACACCGCTTAAACCTTAGCTTTCTTGCCTCCTCTCTCATTCTCTACCACAGTGAAAATAGAACCCATCAGAGAATTCCTTCACTTTCATTCCAATAAATGCAGTTTCCTGCAACTGAAACACATCTTCCACGCTACCTTCCATAATGAAGAGTTCTTCCTATGTCCAAAGAGAACAACACTTCCCCTGTGCTCTGGATGGCACTCCCCTCCTATCTTCTAAGTGATCTCACCATTTCTCTCTCTTCTGTACAGCAAACCTCCTCTCTACTGGCTCCCTTCCATTAGCTGTAAGCTCCTCAAGGACCTCCCATCTTTCCAACAGGCCAATACCACATCATCATTACAGCTCCCACCCTCTATTAACCTTCCTGAGCTAACACCTCCACCTCTTCATTTCTTTGTTCTTCCACTTTCGGTAGTGTATATAGTTCCCACCCCACCACGCCAATGAAACTATTCTTGGCAAGGTCACCAACTTGATCTCATCTTTGCGAAATCCAGTGTACAACTTTTATTCCTTTGTCTGGCTTTTTGGTGACATTTGACACTTCTGACCACCTTTTGTCCCTGGAAGCATCCTTGGACATCCTTGGTTCTCTCCGAGTCGCCAGCTTCTCCACACGCTGGTCTACTCTCTGAAGGTTCAAAGCCCTTTCTGACTATGTTGTGCCCATCGGTGCTCTCTTCAGCTCTAAGAGAGTCAGCTGCCATCTGCAAGCCGAGGACAACCAAATCTCTCTCGAGTCTGGCCTCTTTTCCTGAGCTCCCAGTCCTGACACTCCATTTACCAGACAAACGCTCTGGTTGGAAAAGCCACGTGATGTGTGTGGAATTCTAGATGCATCACTTATTGACCTTGGCCAAGTAATGACATTACTGAGCATGTTTCTCAACCCCCAGAAAAGGGTGGGTGGGGAATAACTATACTGTCTTTTCTCAGATACTCTAGGGCCATTAATACGAGCTGCTGTATGAAAGTAAGCTGTAGGCAAAAAGGCACCATATAAACTAAGCTGCCGCTTACCAAGGTAATGGCACATGGCAGCCTGCCTGGGAAGAGCTTTCAATGGCTTGAAATTCTGGGAGTGCTAAGATACTGGTGGGGCCTCTGGATTCTTCCTCAGTTTGGGAACGGATGCTCTCGAAGAGGCTGCAACTCACACGCCCAGCCCTGCCAGGCCGCGCAAGGGAGCCGCGCGCTGGGCCGGGACCGACGCCAGGGGCAGCGCCGGGGTACTGATAACACGCGGGGTTTGGGGCGCAGTCTCCCACAGAAGCTGGAAGACTGGGTTTTTAAAACGTAAGCTTTTCAGTCTTTCAGTAGCAACCAATACAGTTTTTAAAAAGACACTTAAAAGGCCCCCCCCTCCATGCCGAACAAGCCAGGC